AGAGCTATGTAAAGGCGCTTCAGCCTTCCACAAGCTCTTTTTCTTCAGGTTCCTCTTTTGCAAATAGGAAATGATCTCTTCCCAGCCAGAGACAGTGACCGCTAAGATCCTTCCGCGGGGAGCCTGGCTAACAACTTCTAATGCCAGGTGTACCTTCGCTCCTGCTGCTCCCGCTGTCTAAGCTTCCCAGAGTGGGCCCTCCCCCGTGGCAATATTCTTCTCCCAGCTGCTGGCACATGGTCCTTGACTTGCTGCAGGTCCATCTCTCCCTTTTCACCCCTGGATGGAATCTGGCCCCTGCTCTTGCCAGGATGTGGGCAGCTGGTCCAGCTCTGACCTAAGATTGACCCAGTTTGGCCACATGTACACCAAGTGTTTGAGACTCAAGTCACACTTACCTGCTTGCTGGGAGTCATCGCTACGTGAGTCCTCTGCTGCCTCCACCGCCTGTCCCTGTGGATCTCTCTACCCAGCACAGCCTTACCTCCTATTTCCTCTATTCACCCTGTCTACAATCTGAGGGCTGTGGGTGGCTGCCGAAGAGCCTGTGGCCCTGGGGACTCCTCACACTGTACTGCTAACAGTACAGGAGCACAGTCCCACAGTTTAGTGATTGAGAGCAGCAGGCCTCCAAGGGAGGGACTGGACCCTGAAGCCTCTGCTGTCCCATTTCCTCCATCACCATCTCAGAGGATTACTAAACAGCTGCAGAAGTACTAAGGAGAACAGAGTGGAGGCATTCCAGGCCAGGGGACCGCAGCCCCCACGGTATATTTCAGCCATTCCAGGTCAGCTTGGGCAGGACCTGACTTTGGGCTAGAGGCCCAGCAGCTATGAGCGCCCTGAATACCTGAGACAGAGCAGATTCCCATGTCCCAGGGGAACTGTCAATGGCTTGGCCTTCAGACAGGTGCTCCACTGGTCCAGCTAGGACCCTCTCCAGTAAGAGAAAAGCCAAGACCAGTGCTTCACTGGGGATTCCCAGCACTGGTCTGAGCCTTCAGAACCGGGAATTCTCCCTTTAGACACCTTCAGATACCCCTAGCAGCACCCCAACAGGACACGTCAGTCAACACTCCAAATTCTATCAAGAGTGGCATTTATTCTCCTCGTGGAGGTGCGGCGCTCCGAGGAGCTGGTGCTATTGTGCTTAGGAAGGAGGTCTGTCCGTCCGTCCGTCTGTCCGGCCGGCCCGGCCCCAAACGGGGGCGGAAGAGGGACACGGCCCGAGTAAAAATCCCAGCCTGTTGCGGGCCAGGAGTATGTACAAGGTGGCGGGGCGCAGGCGAGGGGTGGGGGCGGGGCGGGCCGGCAGCCACAGCCCCCACCCGAGGGCCCCCCGCACCTCGGGCCCTACTTGTAGAATCAGTACAAAATAGGTGCTACCTAAACGTTCCTTCTACCTGAATTCGCTAAGTCGGTTATTGTGCTGCTTAGTTATGGGGGGCGGGAGGGGGCCCATGGCTTTCCACGGCGGCAGGGTGTGGGCGAAGCGGGAGATCCTGGCGGGCCCACAGCCCTTCCAGCCTTCTCCATAGGTAGGTAGACAGGAGTAAGGAGTGGGGCAGGGTGGGCGCCTCTGTGTGCGTGTGCATGCGGCACAGGCTGGCAGGCCCAGGCTAGGAATGGTGGGCATTTCGCCAGGTGGAGTAAGGGGGTTGGATATGGGCACTGCTATGCTAGGCCTGCGGGTCCGCACCAGGAGGGTAGCCAAGCTTGGTGCTGTGATGAGGCTGGCCATACCATATACTCCAGCTTGTTGCACCTTTAGCGGCACAGAGACAGCAGAGCCTCGTATCTCAGGGAATCAGAAAATGGGTACCTGTATGGGTGGCCCTGGAGAAGCCGGCCCTGAGACCCTGGGACCTGTCCAATTTGAGCTGGGAACATAAGGCCCAAGTCAAAGGCAGAGCCTGACTACATCCAGCATAAAGGAGGAACTGAGGTGGGTAGGAGAGGCCCTATGGGACCGGGGATCCAGCCCTCTGCAACTGCCTTCCACCCTGGCCTAACCCATGCTTGTTGGGCCCCTGTCACTGACAGGCACCTCCCCCGAAGGTTGCCACATCTCTGAAGGATTCAGGATGGGCCTGGCAAATCGTAGGTACCCAGTGATGGGTCGGTGGGTGATGAAGGACTGACAGGCTGTGGTTGATACCATTCCATTCCAGCCTCTGGAACTATGACGCCTGCCGGGCTCTGCCCTGGGGTAGGGAATGGGGAAAGAAAGTCTGCGTGGCCGGCCCCGCGCAGCATCCCTGATCTAGGGGCCTATGGGATGGGTAGGGCAGGGGATACCTGATTCTCAGTAACTCTAGAGGCTGCGGCAGCTTCACATGCAGTGCGCATTATTGCTCTATAGTCTGCATCGGACTAACTAAGAGGAAGGGGAGCGGGCAGCCCCGGGAAGGGTTGGGAAGAAGGGTGGGACCTGCATGCAGTGATGTCACAAAGGCGGCGGCCAATGGGGCGGGCCCTTGGGGTAGGGTCACCGCCGAGGCTTTGGCATAGACGGGTGAAAGTTGGCAACCGAGTGGGGGCGGGGCCTGGGCCTCCGGGAAAGGGCCGGCCTCTGTGAGGCAAAGCTCAGGGGCAGAGGAAGTGGTCCTGGACAACCTAAGCCCCGGGCGTCGGCGGGAAGAATGAGGGTTCGGCGCCCCCTCCCTGACCCGAGTGCAATCCGTTCATAAATAAAACGTATAAATACAGAAAGAAAGAAACCCGACGCGTCCGCAACCCCCCCAGGGGGCTTTACCCGCAAAGCAAATACAGAGGTGTGTAGAGGGCAGTGGCACGCCAGCCTGCCGGCCCGGGTATCCGTCCTCCAACACCCGAAGCCTGGGGAGCGAGGGAGGGGGCCCCGGGGCAGGGTGGGATCGGGGTCTGAGTAGGTCGGATAAGTTCATGCGATTCCGATATGCGTCATTATTATTCGTTATAGAGGACAGAGCCCCGGAAGCCGGGCTGGAAGAATTCGGATTTGGCAGAGGATGCGAGGCGAGGGTAGGAGGGAGGCTCGGACTGAGGCCCCAGAAAGAACCCGAGGGAGAGGGTTGCCGCCGTCCGCGCCCCTCCCCATCCCCAAATCGTCTAGCACTCCCGGGAGGTCTGCAAAGCCTGTGGAACAGAACGCCTCTGTGGCCCGCCTGCTCTCCTGCTCCTCCTCCGGCCAGCTGCCCGGGTGGAGCTGACTCCCTGGACGCCGGGCTGAAGGCTTGGCCTGGAAGGCTTGGGAAGGGGTGGGGAAGACCTGAGTCTCTGCAACGCGATCCAGGGGCGCAGAGGAGGGAGGAGGGCGCTCCTTACCTCACCTCACCCCTGTCTTCAGAGACCCAACTAAGAGATGAGGTTCGGTTCTGGGTCTAGTCGACCCTATTGCTGGGAGAAAGCCTGGGGCACCCTGGAGGAGAGGGGAGGGGTTTCGGGGTGGGTCTCCCCTCGGGACCCTATTGCTTGAAGGGGCTGGCAAGGCTCCTGGCGAGCGGGGCGGGGTGGGGCCGGCTCCCTACCCCTATTGCTGTGAGGAGGGGCCCGCCCTCCAGCCCCTCCGCCCGGACGCCAGCGGAGACTTCCCTGGGGGGCCCGTATTGCTAAGAGCCGACCTGGCTGGCGGAGGCCCCGTTGCCCTAGGCTTGAACCGGGCTGAGCTGCGGCGGTGCAGGGGTTGCGGGGCCGCCGGCGCCGCCCTTGAAGCAGGCTGACTCGTAGTGCTTGTTGAGATAAGACTTGAGCGCGAAGCTCTTCTTGCAGCGCTTGCACTGGAAGTGCTTGAAGGCGGAGTGCGTCTGCATGTGTGCGCGCAGGTTGGAGCGGTCTGCGAAGGCCTTGCCGCAGTGCGCACAGCCGAAGGGTTTCTCGCCCGTGTGAGAGCGCATATGGCCCTGCAGCAGCCAGGGCCGCGAGAAGGCTTTGCCGCACACGCCGCACTTGTGGCGCAGATCGTGCGTGAGCAGGTGCATAGCCATGGCCGGCATGGACACGTACACCTTGCCACACGTCGGGCAACGCCTTGCCAGCTGGCTGTCCAAGCTGCGGTGCGTTTGCTTGTGGCGGCTCAGGTTCGACGACGTGGCGTAAGTTTTGCCGCACTCGCCGCACGCGTGCCGGCCACCAGCGCCCGTGGCTCCTGGCCCCGCGCGAGCCTCGGTGCCCGCCCCCACGCGCGTACCGCCCCGACTGGCAGACCCTGATCCAGAGCCTCGCGTGCCCGGCCCACCCCCACCTCCAGTGTCGCTGTCAGGGGCCGCCACCGAGGCTGTGGAGGGCGCCGCGGCAGCGTTGGCATTAGCAGCCTTACGGCGTGAGCGCCCGTCAGTGATGAAGAAGGCGTCGGCCGCGTAGCCTTCGCTGACCGCCGCGTCGCCGTTGATGTAGCCGCCGGCAGCAGTAGCCAGCTCTGGGCGAGGGGTGGGCGGCGGGGCTGAGCCAGAGGCCGCGGGACCCAGCTCTCCGCGCACAGCCGCAGCGTACATAGGCTCCGGGGATGGCCCTTTGAGCAACGCCGCCTCAGCGTCGCCATCGTAGACAGACGCAGGCCCCACGTAGTCACTGAGGTATCCTGCAGGCGGAGGCGGACAGACAGACAGCGGGAGGGGAACGGAGCAGCGGGCAAGACACACGCAAAGCGGGCGGCAGGAGACGGAGAAGACACAGCGGGAGACGTTGGGGTCCGGAAGGAAGGCGAACGAGGATTAGGACAAAGGAGAAGGGGCCGGGGACCACAGGGCAGAGAGGATGGGGACCGTGGGGAGGGGAAGAGAGGAGAGAAGAGAGACAGCAGAGGATGAGACAGGGCCAGGCAGGGCTCCTCCCCCGCCGCCCAAGCGCCCCGCCCCCGCGCGGGGAGGAGAGAGAGGGAGAGAGAGAGAGAGAGAGAGAGAGAGATGCATCTTCGGGCGCGGCTGCCCCCCTTCAGCGAGCCTCAAGGTCAGGGGGGAGGGGCGGCGCTCCTCTCTTCCTCCTCCCCCTTCCCCTCCCCCTCGGGTTCTCCCCACTTCAGCAGTTTTCCCTGATTATGCAACACACTGCAGACCCGCCGCCGCGCACAAAGCCAGGGCCGCCAGCCCGGAGACCCCGACGGTCTTTCCTCTTCGGGGTCCCCCGGGGCCTGCTTTAGGCCCCAGTAGCTGCTTCCAGACTTGATGCTGTCCTTCTGGTTCCCTAGGTGTACCAGCAAAACCCTGGCGACTTCTGCCTAGGCAGCATCTCTCTCCGGCCATCAGCAGTACTTCTCTGTCATCTCCCATCTCTCTGACCGCTCACTGGACTTGATCCCCTACCCTGGCAGCTTGAACTCATTTACCTCTACCCACTACTTTCCATTATCCTGGGTCCTACTTTGGTCCACACTCTCTTCTCCCCATGGCCTAACGCTTCTGGGGACCTTCTCAAGCCCCCCAACAGGGCACTAGGAAGACTGCCAGGGCATCCACCAGGGGACGCGTTAATAGAGGCAAGCTGCAGGTGGACACTGTTTATACCAGGAACTGCAGTTGTTCCCAAAGTACAAGATGGGTCTCACAATCTCGGAATCATAAATGCATCCCCTTCACAATGCAGGCTCCAGCTCTTTCAGGGTTACACATAGGCTCTCAGAAATCATCAGGCCTGGTGTCCTCTCACAGGGCACGCTGCCCACTGACCCTAGCACTGGAACTTGCCTCCCATATATGCAGGGTCACATATGCAGCCATCCAGACACACTCTCGGTCACATGGTGCACGGCGGCCTCGGTGTCACGTGGTCTCATGTAGTGGCACACAGGCAGGCACACACACACAGGGTCACACACAAGCGCACAAAGTCACATGGCCACACGCAGTCACATGGGCCCACACAGGCTTATGCTCCTGCAGGTCACACTTGCTCTGCCACCCCACACTGCTGGCACTCCTGTCCCCTCTTGCCTGCATGCTAACAGTTGTCCTTGAACTTGGGCATCCTTACACAAAGAGCCTCCCCTGACTCCAATACCTTGGCTTCCCTTGCTCACCTCTTCCTCCCTAATCCTGAGTCCAGGGAAGATACTGCTGTTGCCTCTTCTGGTACCTAGGCCCTGACAGGTGGGTGGCCCTGCCAGACCCCATGCCTACTCCCTAGAGCGCCCAGCATTCCCTAGACAGCCCTAGCAAGGGGCTTTGAAGGTACAGCCAAAGAAAAGTGAAACAGATCCAGATTTCTCGGTGTGGGTTTGCATGTGCCCATATAAGTGGGTCTTGTTATGTCAGCAGGTGTCTGTGCAGCAGTGTGTGGGTCAGTGTGTGCCTGTAGTGCTTCTTGTTCCTGATCCCTCTTTCCTACCTCCCCTGTACCCACACTCTGCCCAACCTTGGAAGCTGTCTGGCCTCACTCTGCTCCCCCTTTCCTCAGCCTTCATTCTCGGTTCCCAGCCTCAGGCTGCTTCCGCTGGAGCTACATCCCCTCCTACCCCGCCACTCCACCCCCACACTCTGGCCACCCACCCCTTCCAGCAAAGCCCTGGGCCCTGCCCCAGCTGCAGTCCAGAGCGCACCTTTATCCTGCAGTCGCACTCCCAGATCGCTGCGGGCGCGCCCGTAGGAGCTGTCGAGGTCTGCCGAAGAGAATGTGTCAAGTTTGACCTTCTTAACCAGGAAGGACCTGGGCATGATTCCTGCGGGGCTCCGGCAGTAAGGGCCTGTAGAGCCGGGGCTCGGGGGGACTACGTCCGCGGCGAGGCCCCGTCACCATCCGAGGAGCGGTGGAAGCAGTACTGTCCCCAGTCTGGCCTGTGGATGCTGCTGGGCGAGTGTGATCCTCTCTCTTCTTTCTGCCCTGCGTCTCCTCTTCTTCCCCTCCAGATCCCTCCTCTCTCTTTCTCTCTCTCTCTTTCCTTCCTTCCTTCCTTCCTTCCTTCCTTCCTCCTCTTCTCTTCTTTTCTCTTCTTTCCTTCCTTCCTTCCCTCCTCTGGTCCCGGCTTCCCAGCCCGCAGTGCCGCCCCTGGACAGGCGGGGGAGGAGGCTGGGGGGGGGGGGCGGAGAGGGGGGGAGCGGCTCCGTCCCGGGCCCGGAGGCTGCGAATGGGTGCAGGGCTGGCCCGGCCCCACGGCCCCCTTCCCCTCCCCCCCCCCGCCGCGGCGGCGGAGCCTCAGTCAGCGGCGCCCCATGCCCCCGGGGGGCGGCAGCGCCGGGCCAAGAGAACACGACAGTGGCAGCAGCGGCAGGAGCACCAGCAGCTTCAGCACCGCGGCCAGCGCTGGCTAGGGCAGCACCGCGGCCAGCGCCCGGGCGCGCTCAGCTGGCGCTGGCGGAGAGGGGCGGGCCACCCGGGCTTGGTCGCCGGGCGGGGGTCCTCGGCGGGGGTCTCTGGGAGGCTGGCTTTATTGTTCTGCAGTCGGAGCGGGCGGCGGCGGCGGCGGCGGCGGCGGCGGCAGCGGCAGCGGCGGGCGGCGGGCGGGGGTCCTCAGGGGGAGGGGTACCCAGGGAGGGCGGGCCGAGGGAGGGAAGGAGAGAGGGAGGGACGGGGGTCCGGGGGCGGGGCTCCGCTCTCGGACAGCTCCGGGGCAGGCCTCCTGAGCCCGCAAGCCTCTTCTGCCTACCGCCGAGCGCAGCCTCTGGCTTTTAAAGCCAAGCGCTGGGGGAGGGGGTGGGCGGGGAGGGGAAAAGGCCGGCGGAAATGGCTGCGCCGGGCTGGGCCGGGCCAGGGTCTCCTGGGAGGGGTCCTGGGGATGCCTCGCCTGGACTTGTGCGGAGTTCCCCGGTGCAGCGGGGGGGGGGGGGGGGGGGGGGGATGGCGACCCGATACTTGGTGGCATAGTCGGGCGCGATGGGGAGAGGTGGGAACTGGGCCTGACAACTCTCGCACCCCCGACTCTGGTTCTTTTTGGGGAGAACGCGAGCGGACCTCAGCCGGGTCCACGCCGCCCCGTATGAGGTCTGGAGGTTAGGCGCGGGCTGTGCGGAGGCGGGGAGAGGCGGGCGACCAAAGGAGTGAATGCTGAGGCAGCGAAAACGCAGTGTGGAAGCCTGTGTTGCGCCCTGTGCCGCAGTGCCTCTTGCCACTCTGTCACCTCGGCTGACCCTGTGCCCGCTGGAGGGACCTCTCTGCCCCCGCCTCTCCCGCGGGACGGATGTCCAGCACAGTAGCGTCGTAGCAGGCTGAGTGTGCGTGGTGAGAGGGACTGCCATGCCCCCGTTCCCGAAATTCCGCTTCATCGGTGGTTTCCGCCCTTCCGCGCGCGCCTGCAGCTTCCCCGGGCGGGCCCGCAACCAGGCGAATAACCCTTCCCGTGGCCGCCCGCCCGGAGTTTGCAGCCCCCATGACGTCAGGCCCAACGGCCAATGGCGGGGCACTGGGGGTTGGGGGGGCCTCACAATGGCCGCGCGCGGGTGCATATGTCCCCAATTAGGGCCGGGCGCCGCCATTGTCCCTTCGTCGCCCCCTCCTCGCGTTGGGGGGTCTCTGAGCTGAGCTCTCCCCGCCCAGCCTGCTCGGACCAGCGACTGCTGTCACGGAGCGGCAAGCGGGGATGGCAGCGCGGTGACCTTTTACGGACGGGTCCGGCGGGCGCGGACGCCAGGGCAGCGCGGCAGCGCTGAGCTCAGCTCCCCTCCTCCGGCTGCGTGCTTGGCTGCCACCTGCCTCCACCGCCTCGCGTCCGGCCACGGTGGGTGTGAGCTACCTGCCGCACACCGGGCGTGCAGACAGACCACTCGCCCGCTTTTAGGCTAGCGGCCCAGCTTCTCGGCGGCCGGACATTCATCTTGCGTGGCAGGCGCTCCCGAGGGGGCAAGGGCGGGTGCGGCCTCCCCCTTATCGCTGAGCAGCAGCCGGCGAAGCTCGCGGTAGGGGGTGGGGGGCGAGGGTTCCCCCGCCAGCCACGGCACTAGTCCCGGCTCCTTCCCAGAGGGGGAACGGCTGAGGCGCAGCCGGAGGCGTCAGGCCAATTAGCATTTTGATTGCTGGACGGGGGTGGGGGTTCATCTGGAACAAGGTCTAATTACCAGACGGACCCCTCGGGGCTCAGGCAGGCTCGACCCCCCCCTCCCCACACCCTCCGTTTGCTGCCTTCTTCTGGTCATTGTCCCCGCCCCCAACTCTATCCTCCCACTTCCTCTAGGTCCCCTCCCAGGCCTAGTCATCCTGTCTAGTTCTGTCCCTATACTTTGCCCCTCGGGTCCCTTCATTAGTCGTGGTCCTTTGCCCCTTCAGTCTTTCCTGGGTCAACCCTCTTTTCTCCATCCCTTCATATAATCTCTGTCCTTATGTTCGATACACACCCCTTCCCCCCTTTGTCCATCTCCCCTCTCCTTTGGCCCCTAACGCCCTTGATGAGAGAGACCATGCCTGGACACATGTGTCCTTGGGTCTCAGGGGCAGGCAATACCGAGGGAACTATTCAAACAGGCCTTGCTCTGGCTATGGTGGATCCCTCAGGACTCCCCGCCATGGGGGATGGGGGGCACAGCTAGGAGGGCAGCTGGGTCCAGGCCTTGGCCATCAGTCCCCACCAGCCCAGGTGCATGGAGCACATGGGACCCAGGTGCAATTACTTGGGCACTCCAACTGGCCTTGTGAACCTGCCTCCCTGCCCCCACTTTTCATCCAGAGATTCCCCCGACCCTTGATCCAACCAGAGAGTTGAGGAATAGTTGACCAGTCATTTTGACAAGTTGTAAGCTCCTTTACCCAAGGCCTCACAGAGTCTCTTCCATTAAGAGTTGCGGCCTGAGAAGGCTTTGTAGAGGAGCAAAGCAACCCTCAGTCAGTGGATAACTGCAGGCCCTACGATCTTGGCTTTCCTAGCAGCTCCCACAAAACCACCTTGTGAGGCTCTCTTCTTGCTATTTTGGTCCGACTTTTATCCCTTTTCAGTAAGGGTCTCAGTGTTCATTCTGTGAATATCTTCCTCTGCCCAGGTCCCATCTTGCAGGAAGGTTTAAGGTGGTGGTGGGCGGGGATATAGGATGGGGTGTTCCCATTGGTCGTGTTGCCAACAGCCCACTGATGTGTTCAGGCCCTTGTGATCTTGTCACTACTATGCCCACCTAGGGAATCAATGGACAGCCTCCCTGGAGGGTCCACCCCTGGGCTGAGACAGGTGATTGACAGGGAATGGGAAGTTGGATTGAAATCACTGGTGGGGACAGCTTCTGTGGTGACTGGGTGGATGAGGTCATGAGCAGGATGAGGTCAAGGCTGTAGTGGGAGGGAAAAGGAGGCTAGTCCTTGAGACTTAATTCAGCCACAGTGATGGGTACAGGCTGGCCATCGTAGCTAATGACATGAACCATCTGCAAATTCAGTAAGGAGCAGGTGACAAGATACCTTACTTCCAAGCCAGGGGCATCTGTGGCGAGAGAAACAGTTGCCTCCAAAAAGGGTTGCTGGGTTAGGGGGTAGCGCAAAGGGAAGTTACCTCGCCTGAGCTCACTAGGACAGGTTGAAGGCCCAGAGAAGGTCTACTTCAAAAGGCCTGAAGGGCAAAGCAGACTTGGTCCTCACTGAGGCAGAAACATGGAGGCGATGTTAGTTACTTTCCCACTGTAACATATCACCGGAGGGAGGTAATGTTTATCTTCAGGTCATAGTTTTAGAGGTTCCAACCCCTGGTTCTCTATTGTCTCTGGGCCCTGTTTAGGCAGATCATGAGAGAAAGGCAGAGCAAAACAGTTGCTCACTTTGCAGCAGCCAGGAAGCAGAGAGGGATTGTGGGGGTGGTGGTGCAACGTACATATTTCCAAATCACAATCCCAGTATTCTGTTTCCTCCAGCTAGGCCCCACCTACCAATATCTACCTTTTTTAAAAAACTTTATAATTTAGAGCCAGGCGGTGGTGGCGCACGCCTTTAATCCCAGCACTCAGGAGGCAGAGGCAGGCAGATCTCTGAGAGTTCAAGGCCAGCCTGGTCTCCAAAGTGAGTTCCAGGAAAGGCGAAAGCTACACAGAGAAACCCTGTCTTGAAAAACCAAAAAAAAAAAAAAAAAAAAAAAAAAATTATAATTTAATTTAATCTTACATATCAGTCACAGATTCCCCTGTCCTCCCTCCTCCCACCCCCTTCTCCTCCCAGCTCACCCCCCATTCCCATCTCCTCCAGGGCAAGGTCTCCCCTGGGGATTCAGCTCAGCCTGGTAGATTCAATCAAGGCAGGTCCAGTCCCCTCCTCCCTTCACCCAGGCTGAGCAAAGTGTCCCAGCATAGGCCCCAGGCTCCAAAAAGCCAGCTCATGCACTAAAGACAGGTCCCGGTCCCGCTGCCTGGGGGCCTCCCAAACAGTTCAAGCTAATCAACTGTCTCACTTATCCAGAGGGCCTGATCCAGTTGGGGCTCCTCAGCTATTGGTTCATAGTTCATGTGTTTCCACTAGTTTGGCTATTTGTCCCTGTGCTTTTTCCAACCATGGTCTCAACATCTCTCGCTCATACAATCCCTCTTTCTCGCTGATTGGACTCCTGGAGGCTGGCCGTGGATCTCTGCATCCGCTTCTATCAGTCATTGGATGAGAGTTCTAGCACGACAGCTAAGGTGTTTGGCCATCCGATCTCCAGAGTAGGTCAGTTCGGGCTTTCTCTTGACCATTGCTGGTAGTCTATTGTGGAGGTATCTTTGTGGATTTCTGGGGATCTCTCTAGCACTTTGCTTCTTCTATTCCCATGGGGTCTTCGTTTATCATGGTGTCTCTTTCCTTGTTCTCCCACTCTGTTCTTGATCTAGCGGGGATCTCCCGCTCCCCTAAGCTCTCTTTCCCTCGACCCTTGCCCTTCATTACCCCCCCCCCACAAGTTCAGTTTGCTCATGTAGATCTCATCCATTTTTCTGTCATTGGGCAATCCCTGTGTCTTTCTTAGGGTCCTCTTTACTAGGTAGCCTCCCTGGAGTTGTGAGTAGCAGTCTAGTCATCCTTTGTTTTACATCTAGTATCCACCTATGAGTGAGTTCATACCATGTTTGTCTTTCTGAGTCTGGGTTACCTCACTCAGGATGATTTTTTCTAGATCCATTCATTTGCCTGCAAACCTCATGATGTCATTGTCTTTCTCTGCTCCATTGTGTATATGTACCACATTTTATTTATCCATTCTTCAGTTGAAGGGCATCTAGGTTTTTTTGTTTTGTTTTGTTTGTTTTTTTGTTTTGTTGAGACAGGGTTTCTCTCTGTAGCTTTGGCTATCCTGGAACTCACTCTGTAGGCCAAGCTGACCTCGAACTCAGAGATCTACCTGCCTTTGCCTCACAAGTACTGGGATTAAAGACTTAGCCACCACTGCCTGGCTACTACCACTTTCTAATAATGCCATAATATGATTCCATCAATGGGTTGATGAGTCCTGGTAGTCAGTCAGGTTCCAAATGCCCCACCCCTGAACTTTGCTCCATTGGAATCAGGCCTTCAATTTTGAGTCTTTTGGAGGAATACTTTATATTCAAACAACGACAAAAGCCCAAGTGACTGGGGATCATAAGAGTCTGGATCACAACAAGATGATAGCTGTGTCCTGACAAGTAAGCAAAGCACAGGAACCCGGGTTCAGGCACTGAACCCATGGGAAAAAGCCAGGCTTGGTGGCATGCACTTGTAATCCCAGCACTGGGAAAATAAGAGCCGGCCAGAGCTCATTGGCCAGTCCACCTAGCCTGCTTGGTGAGTTCCTGGCCAGTGAGAGACCCTGTCTCAAAAACACACAAAAAAAGTAAATGATGTTTCTGAGGTAAAACATCAGAGGATGTCCTCTGGTCTCAACGAGCACCTGCACACACACCTGCACACACACCTGCACACACACACACACACACACACACACACACACACACACACACACACACCTTTAATCCCAGCACTTAGGAGGCAGAGACAGGCGGATCTCTGAATACATAACTATAATTTTGCCACTGTTATGAATCATAATGTGAATATCTATGCTTTCTGATGGTCTTAGGGAACCTCTGTAAAAGGGTCACTTGATCTGCCCCCATAGGTCGCAACCCATAGGTTGAGAACCACTGTTCTAGGGGACCCAGACGAATACAACCTGTATACAAAACTATCATAATGAAACCCATTATCATGGATAATAAATATATGCTTATAAAAATGGAGTGCTGACCACAGATGAATGGATAAAAAACAGATTACTGCTAGGCGGTGGTGGCACATGCCTTTAATCCCAGCACTCGGGAGGCAGAGGCAGGCGGATCTCTGTGAGTTCGAGGCCAGCCTGGTCTACAGCGCGAGTTCCAGGAAAGGCACAAAGCTCCACAGAGAAACCCTGTCTCAAAAAAAAAAAAAACAAAAAAAAGATTACTAGTGATATAGCTTAAGGGAAGAACACGCTTGGTGTGTCGGAGGTCACTTCCCAGTATTTCAAATGAATGAATGAATGAATGGTAAGTAAAAAGTTAAAGGTTGCCATCAACCACCAAAAGTTAAGGGTGAGACAAGACTCTCCCTTTGAGCCCACAAACTCTAGTCTCTGGAGCTATGAAAAAAACAAAAACGTGACTACTGACACAAACCCTCCAGGTCCTTGGTACTTCGTTGTCCCAGGAAACAAATACTGTTCCCCTCAGATTCTGAGCTGGTTTGTTTGCTATGCAGCTGGAGGTGAAGCCCCTGCTTCCCACATGCTTGACAAGTACCCACTCACCCCCACCCCCTCTGCTGTTTCCCCTGCCCCTAAGTTCTTTTAGCCTTGAGTTATGCTGCAAGAGAGACTTCAGATGGAGAGAGAACACTTGCATTTTCAAGCAAAATCTGGAGGAAATATTTCCTATATAGAACTCACCACGCTGAAAAGTTAATATTTTTTTTATTATAGTCACCAACATGCAAAACTTTATTTTATTTTTTGGCATTTTCAGAGAGGGTTTTATGAAGCTCAGGCTGGTCTCGGACTCACTGTGTAGCCAAGGATGAACTTGAACTTGACCCTCCTTGGCGTATTATAGGCGTTCACCACCAGACCTGGTTTTATGCAAAGCTTGAGACTGAACTCTAGGCTTTGTATAAGTGAGGCGACCATTGTCCCAGCTAAGTCACATTCCAAGCCCTGCAAAAGGATTTTATTAAGGAAGAGCCTCTAGGCATAGATAACATCTAGGGCATCACCTGTGAAATGTTTTTGGTGTCAAGGTTAAGTCCAGAGTGTAGGTGTTAATATTTCTCATTTGGTGAGCTCAAAGACTAGAGGCAACATTCACAGTTTGTTTTGTTTTGAGGACTACAGGGTCCCTCTGCAGTCCAGGCTGGTCTTGGACTTGGGGCAGTCTCTTGTCTCAGCCTTCTAAGTGCTGACATTACAGGCATGAGCTACCGCGGCCAGCTCTTCCAGCAATCTTATGTCAGCCACAATACTTTGTCCTAGAGGCCACCTTGAGGAGATTCCTGGGTGTGAACCTTGCCTAATAACAAATCTAAACAGTTGAAAACCTACATGGTGTTTAGAGGAGTCATACTGACTTGGACTAAATGAGCTAGACCATTCAAAACAAAAAGAGACCCTCAAGCTTCAACGTTTTTTTGTCGGTACAGACAAAGCAAGCCAAGAATAAGGATGGTTAAAAGAACAGAGCCAAGCCAGGCAGTGTTGGCGCACGCCTTTAATCCCAGCACTCAAGAGGCAGAGCCAGGCAGATTTTTGTGAGTTCGAGGCCAGCCTGGTCTATGGAGCGAGATCCAGGAAAGGTGCAAAGCTACACAGAGAAACCCTGTCTGGAAAAACCAAAAAGGAGGAGGAGAAAGAAGAGAGAAGAAAGAAGAAGCAACTGGAGCAGTGTAAGGTTCTAGAGCAAGGCCCTACTTCAGGACAGCAGGGTGTCTGCTGCTGCTCCTACAATTTTTTTTCAGTGCTGGGGTTCAAACCAAGGACCTTGTACATGCTGAGTAAATAAATGCTATACCACTGAACTACATTCCTGGTCCCAATATGTAACCCAGCCCCTCTCATTTTCTATGAGACATGGTATCACTATGTAACCTGGCTGGCCTGGAATTCGACATGTAAACCAGGTTGACTTCAAATTCAGAAGAGGTTCTCCAGCTTCTGCCTCCCTAGGATCAAAGGCCTGCCCCACCACACCTGGCTAACTTTGTTTATTAAAGCCAGCCTCCTAAATGCAGGGATTAAAGTGCACACCTTCAGGCCGGGTCAATATGTTACATTTCTATGATTAATGTGTCAAAACTAAGAAACCCAACACTGATGACACATCGGAGTTACCGATTTCCTCACTAGCGTCCCCTTTCTGTTCCCGGTGCCAGCTCATTCAAGGTGATGCACTACATTTAGGCATCCCTTGTGGTCCCTTGGGGTCTGTGATGCACTTAGCCTTTCCTTGCTCTCTGTGGCTTTTTTTTTTTTTTAAGGAATGATGTCCAATTTTGTAAAACGGAATATTTCGTAGGATACTTCAACTGGGCTCGTTATGTAGTCCAGGCAGGCCCAGAACTTGAGAGACTCAAATTGCTCAAGCACTGAGATCCCATGCATGGGCCACCATACCTTTCTTAAGTTGACATTGGTCTGCAGTTGTCTGTAGATGAGGGTGACCCAGTCTTCTTACTGAAGTCTAGCGATGGTATATGACACACATGATTTAAAGTGCTATCTGTCTAGGTGGTCCACTGTCCAGTTCCCTCTTCTATACCCTACTTTGGAAGCTGTATACAGCCCACATTCCAGGCTGTCTCCATAGCAGTATCTACTGAAGACAGTCCATCTCTTTGTCATTAATGTACATGGCGTGGGGGCTGGGTTTTTAATTCTCAGGACTCTGCACCTGACAACCCCAAGGGACGACTGTGCCTGAGGACCCTCGTGTGTTTCTGCACCTAACATAGATGCTCAGACTCTGGACTTCAACCTGAGTGGAGGGCTCAATGACATGAGACCTCAAGGGTTCTGGAAGGAGTCTGTATCTTGCAGGGGAGACCTAGAGGGTGTACTCTGTTGGACTGCTTACACTTACAGCCCTGCTCTTCCTACCTCCTAAGGGTCATCCAACTCCTCCACACAGTGATGGCTTTTTTTTGGTTGTTGTTGGTTGGTTGGTTTGTTTTGTTTTTCAAGTCAGGGTTTCTTTGTGTAGCTTTGGAGCCTGTCCTGGATCTCGATCTGTAGAGCAGGCTGGCCTCGAACTCACAGAGATCCACCTGTCTCTGCCTCCCGAGTGCTGGGATTAAAGGCGTGTGCCACCACCGCTACTTTCTTGCGTAACTTCTGTCCATGGAGGCATCAACATGTAACACATTTAGACATATGTTGAAACAGGTGCCTTCCAGGGTCTGCTCTCTTATTATAGCCTCTCTGAAAGCCAACATCTAGGGGACCTCCTGAATGATTAGATGCTACTTGGAAAAGCGTCCTGCATAATGGCAGGTCATCTTGGACATTGTGGCCCCAACCAAGTTCCTAGCTAGTATAGCTCCATGAATTATTCAGCTACATAGGTGGAGTACACCCTGCTCCCAATCATACTTGTAGCCCTAATCATCTTCCTTTTCTGCCCATCCAAGAACATGGTTCTTACAAATATCCAATCACCTGCTTCAAAATAAATCTTTTGGAACAGTAATATATATACACTACTATTCTTTTAAAAATGTGTGGTTGTGTGTGTGTGTGTATGTGTGTGGTGTACCCCCTTGTGAGTACAGGTGCCCACAGAGAAAAGAGGGTGCTAGATTCCTTGGAACTAGAATTGCAGGCAGTTGTGACCCCACTTCATGTGGGTGCTAGAAACTAATGTTGGGTCCTCTCTAAGAGCAGTATGTTCTTTTAACCACTGATCCTCATCTCCAGCCCCCCAATATGCCTTAAATGTACTCAAATGAGACCTACATCTTGTAGGCTGCCTTCTCTTTCTCTACCTAGAGTTCCACTATTACCCTCCCTCTCCCCACTTGTACAGAGCTAGTGAGCCCCTTCTCTGAAGTCAAGTCCCCATCTTACATAACATAGGTTCCCTCTCCTCCCATTCCCAGTTCCCAGTCTCTGAGGCTCTTCCTCTGCCTCTGTGTCAGATACCAGATTGACATCCCTGTACACCTTCTCATCTACTACCCCTACTGAACTGCCAGACACATCTTACCCGGGGCCTTGGCTTTGTAGACACATCGGGAAAATGTGGTGGTCAATTTTGTCAACTTGACTGAACTTAGAAGCACTACGGGGGAAAAAACTGCTATGTATGTCTGTGAGCCCCACCTTAAATGTGGGTAGCAACATCTTGTGGGCTAGCTAGCATACTGGATTGTATATAAAGGAGAAAGTGAGCAGAGCACCAATATTCTTCTCTCCCTGCTTCCCGACTGGATACAAATGAGATCAGCTCCTCTATGCTCTGGCTTTCTATGCCTTCCCCACCAAAACAAGGCAGATCCCATCACCCATGAGACGATATAAACATTTCTTCCCTTAGGCTGATTCTTCTCAGGAATTTGGTCCCAGCAACAGGTAACTGATAGAGATGCAGACCTGTGAATGCAGCTCCTTCCTTCTCCCCATGCCTTTCTGTTTAAAAAAAAAAAACAAAAAAACCTTCCCATGCAGGGATAAAAGTACAGCTCAGTGGGACATCATCTGCCTAGCACCCATGAGTCCCTGGGTTCAAGCCTCAGATCTGTAAAATAAATAAAAACTGAGTGATTCTGCCCAGCAACTTCAGGCCTAACTCCCTTTAGAACTCTTACTCCGATCCTGGTCACCAGCCCCCGTGCCCAGGCCAGAAACCCTGGGCCTCACAGAAGTGCCTTTGCTTCCCAGGCCCTACCTACCCAGTAAATCCTTCAAGCAGTGACCTCAGTCGACTTTTCTTTGCAGTTCTTGAAACCTTAGTGCTTCTACTTGTCCTTCTCTTGCTCACAGGGCGTCTCATTGAACTTCCCAGCCATTTTCCATTGGCGTGACTAACAATTTGGAATTTTCCAAGGATGTTTTCTGTCCATCATCCCTTCCTCCCCATCCCTCTTCCTCTCTTTTTCCTTTTTTTTTTTTTTTTGTCCCAACGGATTGATGAAACCCATGCCTTGCACGTGTGAGCTTCATCCTACACTCCAGATCCCTCATTAAACTTTTTTTTCCAATACAGTATCTTATTACCTTCATACTATCAAACTTCTGGTCTCCACCTCCTGGGTGCTACAATTAAAGGTGTTCCACTCTGCCTAACCCCTTAGTAATTTTAATTGTTGAGACAGGGTCTCTGTAGCCCAAAGCTGGCTTGGGACGCACAATGTATCAGAGGATGACCATGAACTTCTGATCTTCCTGGTTCTATCCACCCAAAGCTGAGATTATAGGTGTAACAACGTTTTAATGAAGACTCCATATTTCCTTCCTTCTTTTCTTTCTCTTTTTCTTTTTTTTTGGGGGGGGGTTGGTTTGGTTTCTTTTCATTATTATTATTATTTTATTTATCTTTATTTTATGTGCATTGGTGTATGCATGTATGTCTGTGTGAGGGTGTCAGATCTTAGAGTTACAGACAGTTGTTAGCTGCCATGTGGGTGCTGGGAATTGAACCCGGGTCCTCTGGTAGAGCAGTTGGTGCTCTTAACCATTGAGCCATCACTCCAGCCCCTTGTTTTTGTTTTTTTGAGACAGTGTTTCTATGTGTAGCCTTGGCTGTCCTGGAACTTGCTCTGTAGACCAGGCTGGCCTCAAACTCAGAGACAGATCCACCTGCCTCTGCCTCTCAAGTGCTGGGATTAAAGGCGTGCACCAGGCAAGGCTCCATATCTTCATCTTGTGGCTCTACTAACTATGTAGCTAGTCCTGGTACCAGGGACGCATGCCAACATGTTGACCACAGACCCAGGTGGACAGTGGTCCTCTGTTCCCATGGCAGCCCCAGGCACCAGGAGGCCTCAGGTACTAGCGTAGGAGCTAGAATGTTCTGCCAGACAAGGACACTCATCAGAGACACAAAGCATATGCCATGGTGGGCCTGGCAGCTTGGCTGAGGACTCTGGAAGCCAAGTGTGCATAAGCAACATTGGGGTATGGAGTCCCATTTATGCCAGAAGGCCCAGGGCATATCATCTGACTCTGCCCCATATCACTGCTGGCTGGACTAGGGGCAGGTGCTTAAGTCAAACAGACCAATCATATTCTGACTGCCGAGCTTCATTGGTTAGCCCCAATTCAGCCTTGCTGGCTAAGAGGGACAGGAAGTCCTAAGCCAAGTGATGAGTTCAGATACTCAGAGGCCTGGTTACATGATACTCTCCTCGCTTCTTCTAACCCAAACTGTGGGGTTTGCTCCAGAGGCTGGAGAAGATGGGATTCTTAGGCCCTGGAAGGTTGTGCTAGGGGAAGACCCTTAAAGGAAGCCCCCTCAAAAACAAACAAACAAACAAACAAACAGAGAACCACCTGGCTGGAGATTGAAGCAGCTTTAGTAAGAGGAAGGATAGTAGGTGGGGCTGGCTGGCCGTCCCTCCAGGACGGGGATGAGGACAGTGTAGGGAAAAGGAGGTTGGGGTTCAGGCCCTAGGGTTAAACATCCAGGTCGGTGACACTTGACTTCGCGTAGGCTTGTGCTTTTCGATGCACAATGCCAGGGTTAAAGGTCGCCCCCAGCGGCCAGTGGCGGACCACATGACGGTAGGAGGCAGCCAGGTAGTCAAAGTAGTTGATGTTGAGTTTCCGGGCAATGTGCCGGCCCAGGAATTCCATTTGCTATGAATAAGTGAATGGCAGCCAGGTCTCCATTCTCCAGATAGGAGAATCCCGCCCCCCCACCCCCCACCCCCGCCTCCCACCAGCATGCCCTTTAGGTATCCTTTCCCCTTACCAAGAGAGTATCCCTACCCCTGCCTAGGATCCACGGTGCTCCCGCCACCCTTCGCAGAGTGGAGGCCTCACTAAAGGAACTGTGCTATATTTACCCTCCAAGTGAAAAATAGCCCCATTCAAGAACTCTAAGCAGCAGTTATCTTTGGGGGGGTGCTGGGGGGGTGCAGGACCTACCTCATAGCGCTCTGACAGCTGCACCAGAACAAGAGGCTCTAACTTGTGGCCACAAAGGACCAGCTGGAAGAAGCACCTGCCATAGGCTAGCAACAGATAAGCAACTGAGCCAGGACCCTAACCTCCCAGAGCCTAGGGGTAGGACGGTAGGGGTTGGGCCTCCAGGGTGGGAGCGTCCAGATGGACTACTGGCCCTTCCCAGCTCTGAATCCATGTCCCTCTCCCTCCACCCTCTTGTATCCCAGACATCACCATCAGAGCTGAGTGTCAGGCGCACGTAGACCAGATGCATTGGCCCCTGACATACAGTTCGGCCACTGATGGAGAAATGGTACATGCCACGGGTGTGGTTCAGCACTAGGCGGCGCCGGGGCAATGAGGAGATCATGAGCCACAGGCCTATAGCCATGCCATAGGCAGGAAAGCACCAGGTCTCCTGCTTCTCCACCTGTGGGCACCAAGGATTAATAGGGAGGTGAGTTCTGGCAGGAGGTTCCTGTGTGGCTCTCACGCAGAGAGCTATGGGGTGGGGTGCAGGACCTCTGACCTGTTTCAGGGTACCAGTGCAGACCAAGACAAGGCAGAAGATGAAGAGCAGCATCCCCTTCCAGAGCGTGTCCAGGAAGTACTCTAGCACAAAGACTGAGGACAGCATGATCCGGCACATAAGGACAGCCAGGAGCTGCCCCCAGGCGTTGGACAGTACCAGAGATTTGGGGGAAAGAGCCCACCCAGTGGAGGTTCTCCATGCTACTACAGTGCCTGTACCCACAAGTGCCCCTGCCTACCCTAACCCATCCAGGCGTCAGCCAGCCTCTCCACTTCCAGGAACCTGGCCATGCTGTCCCCTGCCTACCATCCGGCTGCTGCTGCTGGAAGGGGTAAAAGCTGTTGTGCTTGAGACGCCTCGCTAAGTGACGCTCAGTAGAGAAGAGTCCTAGGGCCCAGAGCCAGAAGTGCTGGGCAATGGCAGACACGGAGAAGCCGCCGGTCTGTTCCTTGGGGACCTGGTTAGGTAGAAGTCGTCAGCATACGGCTTGCCCACTGCCATCACCCACTGCCTCTATACAGGACTCCCACCCGAGACAACTCCAGGGTGGCAGTTCAGGAAGGAACAAGAGTAGCCAGACAAGAGAGGGGCAGGAAGTAGACAGCAGTCCAGGCTGGGCTGCCTGGGTTCTAGAAGTTCAGGGCAGAGGGTTCTAGAAGGGGCTATTCTATTGACCACACCTTTCTAATGAGCATGCACTCTCTGGTCAGTCTCCACTACCTGGAAGGCAGCCTGGCTTCCTCATGGCTGGACAGCCTAAGTCAATGCTGCCCACATTTGTCAACTCCCGTTTTCCAGTGGCTGATAAAGGCCTCTGTACCTTTTTTTTCCCCACCATTTTACCCCCCACTGCCTACCCTATCCTCAGATAACCGTGTTCCAAGGGTGGAATTCACACAGTTCAGGGGTCAAACCCTGCAGTGAGCAGACACAGCCAACCCTTGGGCTAGGAGACCTAAGAGCCATTCCCATATACACAGGCCTGGGCTGCTGTAGCCTGCACCATCAGGTACGACCCCTGTTTTTCGTCTAACCACTTACTCTAAGGACCATATGTTGGTCCATGCTTGTAAGCCTATCACTTGGGAGGCGGAGATAGGTGGATTGTTGTGAGTTTAAGGTCAGCCTGGGCTACGCTGAGTTCCAGGCCAGCCTAGATTAGTGTGAGCAGAATCTCAAAGAAAACAACAAAGGACCATACAGAATGCTTAAAAATACTTTATTGTAACAAAAGCTCAAACATTTCCAAGTGAAAAGGGGCAGGGAAAAAAGCTGGTAGGTGTCTTGAGTTAAGTGGACTATCTGGAGGCTAGTGGGCTTGTAAGTAGCTGCTCTAGACACCACTGGACTTCCTCCAGGCCCCGGTAAGCACGCTTCAGACCCCTGGGGAGGCACCGGCAGGACTCCAGGTTGAGATACAGCAGCCCCGGGCAACTGCTAATCACAGAACTGTGGAACAGGCAAGGCCATGGGAAAGTGAGCTGTGGGCCAGGGAGCCCTCTCTGCCCTCACTTTACACCAGGCCTACTCCCTATAGCCACCCAGGCCTAAGCTTAGTTCTCTTGATGGCCCCAAACAGGAGTCTGGCCAGTGCCTATACCCTGCTTGGTCCCTGGAAATGTGAAACCGGGAAGGACACCTCTGGTTCCCCAAGTCAGATATGGCACCAAGCAGTACGAGAGTCAAAGAACCAGAGAAAGAGGCACTGACCTGACTGTGCTTGGTGTGACTCGGGTACCCCTTAGGTTGAGGGAGCACAAGGCTGGGTGTAAGCCCCCAGAGGTGCCAGAGAAAACGGCTAGGGCCTGTTCCAGGTCTTTCTCGCTGAAGCCTTGGCCACTGAAGTCCAGCTCCCTCAGGGTGTGATACCACTTCTGGGTCAACAGGGGGCTGCCTTTCTTAGCCAGAGTCAAGCCGTCAGACATGCCATACAGGCCCAGGTAGAGTTGCTCCAGCTCTGGGATGAGAGAACTGAGTGTGAACAGGAGGCAGGCAATGATTCCCACATCCCATCTACCACGCAAGGCCAGCTGACCTTGACATGGTAAATCACACAGGCCAGTGGGCGTGATCCGAGCACAGCCTCGAAGATCCAGCAGGCGCAGTTTGGGGGAGCAATGGAGCAAGCGGCCCAGAACCTCGTTGCTCACAAAGTTGCAGGTGGAGCCAGCCAGGCAGAGCTCCTCAAGGCTGGGGAAGCCTGGTCCCTGGGGCACCCCTCGTCCACAAGGCTTGGGGAGCCAAATCAGGTTCAGCAGCCGTAGCACCTGTGAGTCGGGAGGAGGGCCAGGCTGCAGACAGGTTGCCAAGAGGCAAGTGGGAGAAGGTAGAGAGCATAGATACCTGTAACCGGGGACAGCCTTTCTGCAGAGCCTCCACAGGCAGCTGCAGGGGTGTGCTGTTGCAGTTCATGCCAGTGCTGACCTCCAGGACTTGGAGCTGGGGGCAGCAGCTGCCCTGTAAGGTGAGGGAACACACTAGGTCAAAGGCCTGGCAGCTCCCATGCAGCTCTGTTCCTGCCCATTCACCAACCTACCAGCAGCGCACCCAAGATGGCTGTCGTCTGGGAACTGTAGGTCAGCCACAGCTTCCGCATTCGGGACCCCGCTTCCTCCAAGAAGCTCACCACGGCTGTAGACTCTACCTAGGGGTCCAGCACAGGGGGGCGGGGGGTGTCACCTCACAAGGGCCCAGGCTTTGTCAGGGCCCCTGGGGGCACAGGACTCACCATGGAATGGTGTAGGTCCAGGCTATGGAGCTGGCAGCAGGCTTTGGCCAACATGACCAGTGTGTCAGCAGTCACATTGTGGCAGTCTGAAAGCTTGAGGAAGGTGAGCCGGGGACAGAACTTGCTAACCAGCTGTGGCAAGAGAGAGGCCATCTGGGGTTGGGGAGGGCAGGTAAAAGCCTACAGAGACAACGGACGTCCTGACAAGCCCATTCTGCCCATGCCAGGTCCACTTGGGTGCCTTTTCCTCTGGCAACTTCCTACCTAAGGTGTCAGCAAGACAGACCTGAGCGGGCAGGCAGACATCTCAGTGGGGCAGCACCAAGGGCACTGTCCCGACCGTGGACAACTCAAAATGTTAACAGCTGGTGTTCAGGGCAGTCTCAAGCTCTCACCTCCAACACAGGGTGTACTTGAGACTTCCAATGGATGAGGGTCAACCTCTGGAGCTGTGAGAACCTGGGCGACAGCAAGGCCCAGTTGCGCCAGAGTCCTCAGGCTGCCCCTCGGGCCAGCATCCTCCCTACCCAACACTGATGCGCGGAGGCACAGGCAGAGCAAGGGAATGACAAGGGACCCTCACCGATTGGGTATGAGCCACTCCAGGGAAGCAAGGAGCTTCTTCTCTGCCTTAAGGTTGCCCTTGGCAGCCCGGCCAACCAGCGGGGGTGACAGGGTCACAGTGTGCCAGAGTGCAGGATGGGAGGTGGCTTCATGCCAACGGCGGCAAACGCGTGCAGCCCTAGGAGAAGAAACAGTTCGCTGAGAGTGCATGACTTTTCGTGAGCGATGCCTACAATAAAGTAAGTGTCTTAGGAGCGGCATATCTGCCCCTGCAACTTGCGGCGCAGTGGTCTTAAAGCCAGGCTTTGGGGGCTCCAAGTGGAGATAGGTGCTGGAGCACTCGTGTATACCCGTTGAGATGCTTTGCCCTCTGCCTTGCAACTCCACCTGCTCAGTGCGCCAGTCCATACCCCGGCAGGCGCTGTTAGTGTACCTGCCAAGAAACGGCATGGGCCCATGAGCCGCAACCAACAACCCGAAAATATGCACCAGGACTTCTAAGGGAATACGGTCTCCCCAGCCGGAGTCCGGGCCCTGATCCGGCGACGGTTCAGGTCGGGGCTTGGCCCTGTGCTTGGCAGCCGCCGTGGGGCCGCGAGTCGGGGGTCTCGGAGCGCGGCGAGGGGCGCGCCTGTGCGCGCGAGCGCGGGTATTTTCCAGGTCCGGCAGCACGAGCAGCATGCTGTCCGCTTGCTGCAGGTGGTACCCAGAGCCGCGAGGTGCCAGCCTGTCCCACCACCAGTCCTCGGCCGAGCGGGCCCGCGCGTCGGCCCGCTTGGAGCCCCGAGCTCGACGCCGAACTCGCCCAGAGGATGCAGGAGCCATAGCTCGGGTACCTCCGCTAAAGCGGAAGGTGGGTGGGTGGGCTGGGAGGAAGGGGCGTGGCCCCCGACCTCAGCTCTTCCCCTACTCTCAGCTTCCGGGGGCGGGACTTCCGCCTCGAGGACAGCGGCTTTGCGGGCGTCTTCCTCCAGTTCTGGGGCTGGGATTTGGCTGAGTCTGGGACCTAGCGGCGTGCTCCCGGTGCTGGGCGGGCATCTCCGGCCCCACGGCCCAGATGCACAGCGCTCGGCGGTGGAGCCCTGGGTAAAGCCAGCCGGCCACGCCCCTCACCGACCCGCGCCGGTTGCCTTGGAGTTCGCTGTGGTCCTGATTGGTTTAGCAGTGCCGAGACTTCATTCTCCTGAAGCTGCAGGGACTACTGCTCCTTCGCTGGTCCTCCTCCCCAGAGCCACGCTTTAGGCCAGCTTCTTGCTCTCCCGCTTGCCAGTATTGCTCTGTGGGGTCCCGGTGCAGGCTCCTTGGTGCGTGCAACTCTTGATCAATCTGCCTCCTGCCTTCAGGTGCCTTAGTCTTGCAATTTGTTTACCTCAGACCCCGGTTCTGTCCACTCGCCTTTTTGTCTCCTTCCAGCAGGAAGAGGTTTGGCTCCAAGAGTAGCTAGAGCAGCTTCGGACCTACGTGGGGAAGAGTGGATTGTTATCCTGCCCCCTTTGACCTAATGGCAGCACCTCCGCTGGGCCGACTGGTGCTGACCCATCTGCTGGTGGCCCTCTTCGGCATGGGCTCCTGGGCTGCGGTCAACGGGATCTGGGTAGAGCTGCCTGTAATGGTGAAAGAGCTCCCGGAGGGTGAGTGAAGAGAAGTGGGTGGAGGTGGGCTGCAGGTGCTCTTGGTTCCTTAGCCTGGGGGGCTTACGCAGTCTCCTCCCTCCACTGCAGGTTGGAGCCTCCCTTCGTACCTCTCTGTGCTTGTGGCGCTGGGGAACCTGGGTCTGCTGCTGGTGACCCTGTGGAGGCGTTTGGCCCGCGGCAAGGGCGAGCGGATCCCTATCCAAGTGGTGCAGGGGCTAAGCATAGTGGGCACAGCCCTGCTGGCCCCTCTGTGGCACTATGAGGCCCCAGTAGCAGGGCAGCCCCACTCTGTGGCCTTCCTAACGCTGGCGTTTATATTGGCACTGGCCTGCTGTGCTTCAAATGTCACTTTCCTGCCCTTCCTGAGCCACCTGCCACCTCCCTTTTTACGGTCTTTCTTCCTGGGCCAGGGCCTGAGCGCTCTGTTGCCCTGTGTGCTAGCCCTGGTGCAGGGGGTGGGCCGCCTTGAGTGCCTGCCTGTGCCTGACAATGGTACCACTGGGCCTCCTATCAAGGTGTCTCCCATCAACTTCCCAGAGCGCTTTTCTGCCAGCACTTTCTTCTGGGTGTTGACTGCCCTTCTGGGCACTTCAGCTGCCGCCTTCCAAGGTCTCCTGTTAGTACTGCCATCTGCACCATCTGTACCCATGATGGGTCCAGGGCTCCGGGTAGGAACTCCAGGAACAGAGGAGGAAGAGGAAGAGGAAGAGGCCTCACCTTTGCAGGAGCCACCAGGCCCGGTGGCAGTCACTACTCCCAGCTCAGACCCTAAGGCCCTTCAACTGTTCTCTTCCCGAAGTGTCGGTCTACTGGGGCTCCTGGCTGTCACCAATGCGCTGACCAACGGTGTGCTGCCTGCCGTACAGAGCTTTTCCTGCCTGCCCTATGGGCGCCTGGCCTACCACTTGGCTGTCGTACTGGGTAGCCTCGCCAACCCCCTTGCCTGCTTTCTGGCCATGGCAGTGCTGTGCAGGTGCACATGGGCCCCAAGCCCCAGAGGGGAGGAACTTGAGGTCAGCCGGGGCCTGGGACAGCCAGTCCTGAATCTCAGCCCATCCTTGGCAGGTCTCTGGCAGGGCTGTATGGTCTGTCTATGCTGGGCATGTGCTTTGGAGCCTACCTAATGACGCTGGCAGTCCTAAGTCCCTGCCCTCCTCTGGTGGGCACCTCTGCAGGTGTGGTCCTCGTGGTAAGTATAATGGGGGCATGAAAGAGGAAGAGGGCTTGTCTCAGAGCAGGGGGATTTCGCGTTGAGCTTGTGGCTGCAAAACTCCCCTCTACCCCCACTTCCAGGTACTTTGCTGGGTACTGTGTGCGGGTGTGTTCTCATACGTCAAGGTGGCAGTCAGCTCCATGCTGCACAGTGGAGGCCGGCCAGCACTGCTTGCAGCTGGTGTGGCCATCCAGGTGGGCTCTCTGCTGGGCGCCATTGCCATGTTCCCTCCCACCAGCATCTACCAAGTGTTTCGAAGTGGAGAGGACTGTGTGGACCAGTGTAAGCCTTGAACCTGGGACGTGTGGGACTCACATCACCTCACTTGGTCTCCACCTGGAGATTGCCACATCGACTGAGCCCTGTGGCCCACGGTAGCCTCCCTACTCACAGATACACTCGTGGGTTTTACACACTCCATAAGAGACCTGGCTTTTGAGAAAAAGACCAGGATGAGGACCAAAGAGCAGGCCTGGAGCCAGGGATAGGTTGGGGCTGTGGCCTTCACCCTGGGACCTTTGTGGGATTTGCACAATAAAACATTTCTCTCCAGTGAGTTGTTAATCCCGTGAGCACAGCTCCCTGTACCAGGTCTGCTTCCCTCTGTAGGAGTAGAGGGTCCCTGATCCTGTGGAACTGGAGTACCAGACTGCTCTGAGCTGCCGTGCAGGTGCTGGGAATCGAACCCAGGTCCTCTGGAGCAGCAGTAAGTACTCTTAACCACTGAGCCTTCTCTCCAGCCCCAAGAGTTGGTTTTTCAGGTTCCAGCCCTCAGGATTTTTCAGCTTGAGAGCATTGCTTACCAGTCCTCCAGCTACCAGTTTCCAGCGCCTATAGTCCAAGCCCCCCAGGTTCTCTGTTCAGGTAGATACTTTGTAGCTGTCCTCGACCCAGACTCCTGCACATGGCCTTTGCCCCATGGGTCTGTAGGGTCATCTCTGGGCTGGGTGGTTCTAAGGCTCTCACACAAAGGGCTGGAGCCTCAGGTGGAACTGGAAAGATCCTTTGAACCAGGAGGATTGGGGGGGTCATGCCAGGGCAAGGGTCTGACTTTCTGCCTTCTTTTCCTATTATGGCACAGAGGAGAGCGGCCTGTGGGGGAGGCAGGACACCAGGTGTGTCCCAGTCTGACTGGGATGGCATGAAGCCTCATTCTCCCAGGAGTTGAAGGGGGGAAGGCGGCTCCCACCCTTGCTGCCCAAGTTCTTTAGATGATCTTTCTGAACTTAAGCCTTTTGTCCTTGACCGCCTGGCTTTGCTCTCCTTCCCCCCAGGCTCCCATACCTTGCCAGACCACCTGAGCAGGGGGACCTCCCTCATTCCCTGTGGCTCCGATGTTGGCTCCGAGAAGCAGGGGTGGCTTGGCCAGGTGGGCAGGTACTGAAGGCCTGCAGGGGTGAGGGTGCCCTCAGGAGTAAAGCCAGTGAGACTAGTATTGAGGTTGACCTCTTCAAACTCTTGTTCCAGTGACCCTCTTCCCCTTTTGTACTTTGCCCGTGTCCCCAGTCAGCACCCATGCCTGGGCCCCCGCCCTCCTGTCACCTGAGGCTAGGGACTGGTAGGGCTCCCTCCCAGCTCCTTTTCTCGGTTTTCTCAGGTCAGTAATCAGACGGCAGCCCCGACCCTAGGCTCACCTGTGTGTCTATGCAAGGTATGCTAGGCCCAAGGGCCGAGGACAGCATGGCCCTTTAGATATGTGTGGTCTCCTGGAGAGAAGGGAAGCCAGGGCCCCAGATCCTGGCCAGGCTGAGCCAGAAGTGGGCGGTTGAAGGAAGCCGCTGCTCTTTGAAGTTCTAGTGCCTTCCTGTCCCTCCACGGAAAACTGGGCAAGGGTCAAAATAACACAGGGTGAAAATAACAAGTCCAGGAGGGAGGCAAGGCTGTCTGCCAAGTCCATGGGTATCCATGAGGGCCAGATTAGCTCAACATCCAGGACTCAAAGACTTCTTGTCCCAGAAGGCAGGCAGGCCCTTGAGGACTGTGTGCCACCACTGTGAATGTCCCCTTGGCCTTTAGAAGTCAGAAAAGGGCCATTAACAGGTAGCCTCTTTTCCCAGGTGTGAGGTAGCCCATGATCAGGGACAAGGCTTGTCTTATTGGGACTGAATGATGAACATTAATGTCTTGACCTTCCTGGGTTCTGATGTAACTGCAGATGTGACAGCCTTTCATTCTTTTCTCGTTTTTTCGAGACAAGGTTTCTCTGTGTCTGGAGCCTGTCCTGGAACTCACTCTATAAACCAGGCTGGCCTCGAACTCACAGAGATTCACCTGCATCTATCTGCCTCCCAAGTGCTGGAATTAAAGGCGTGCGCCACCGCCGCCGCCGCCGCCACCTAGGAGCCTTTCATTCTTAACCTGCTCAGATCCAACCTGATTTGAGGGCACAGGACAGTCCTTTAAGGTACACCACACTTTAATTCAGAGGGATTTCCCCCAACTTCTGTGATGCCAGAAGACAAGCAAGAGAGGGTGTGGAGCATCCACAGTTCGAGAAATAGCCGCTTTCCCCCATCCCGCTCTATCCTGTCTCCAAGGGGACCCGGAGGCTGCCTTGCCTTTGCTGAAGTGCTCACACAGCTTCCAGGGCTACAAATCTACTGTTCATTGTATTTTCCTCTCCCTTCATTTTCTTTCCCTCCACCCCTTCTTCTCCCCCCCCCCCCTTCTCTTTCCTATTTCAAGTAGCCCGTTGGGCGGTGGTGGCGCACACCTTTAGTCCCAGCATTTGGGAGGCAGGTCTCTGTGAGTTCGAGGCTAGCCTGGTCTACAGAGCGAGATCCAGGACAGGCACCAAAACTACACAGAGAAACCCTGTCTCAAAAAACCAAAACAAAGCCGGGCGGTGGTGGTGCACGCCTTTAATCCTAGCACTCGGGAGGCAGAGCCAGGCGGATCTCTGTGAGTTCGAGGCCAGCCTGGGCTACCAAGTGAGTTCCAGGAAAGGCGCAAAGCTACACAGAGAAACCCTGTCTCGAAAAACCAAAAAAAAAAAAAAAAAAAATTTCAAGTAGCCCAAGCTGGCTTCAAACTCACTATATAGCTGAGGATACCCCTGCCGTGCGTGCTGGGGCTACAGATGAGCACCACCTTGCCAGTTTGTGCAGTCCTGGGGGTTGGAGGTGGAGCATTGTGTATGTTAGACAAGCAGTCTATGAACTGTGTCATGTCCTTGGCCCCTTGTGTATATTTTTCTCTATAATTCTTTATTATCCTGTGTGATCTGAACTATAGGAGCAGGACTGGGGTATGACTCAATGGTGGAGTGCTTGTCTAGAATCTGCAAGACACCGAGTTCGGCCCCCAGCACTGCAAAATAAAAACAAAGCATAACTGTACAGAAAGTACGATAACGGTTGGTGGGGAGAGAATGAGGAATCCTTAATGGGTCCAAAGTTTTCTTTGAAAGATGAAGGAGTCACGGGGTTGGGTGGTGGTGGTGGTGGTGGTGGTGGTGGTGGTGGTGGTGGTGGTGGTGGTGGTGGTGGTTACACAATATTCTGAATGTTTTTTAAGCCACTGCCCTATACTTTGAAAGTGGTTAGTTCTCAGTACTTGAGAGGCAGAGACAGGTGGATCTCGGTCAGTTCAAGTTCAGCCTGATCTACACAGTGTTGCATAGAGATCCTGTCTCAAAAAAAAAAGGTGGTTAAGATAGTAAACTTTTTGTTTTGTTCTGAGACAGCTTCCTATAGCCTAGCCTGGTCTTTTTGTTTGTTTGTTTGTTTGTTGGGATAGGGAGGGTCTCACTCTGTAGACCAGGCTGGCTTGGAACTCACAGAGATCTTCCTGTCTCTGCTACTTGAGTGCTGGGTTCAAAGGTGTGCATCACCAGACTTTGGAAAAGAATTATCTTGTAGTGCCATCAAATACTTGAAATGAATGAACATCGTGGATGGGATTTTCTCCAAAGTAACCAGGCAGCAGGATCGTGCCTGATGTAAGATAGGCCTCAGCTGTTGAAACTGGAAGTGGACACATTCAAGACTTTACACTGTTTGGCCTAATTCTGTGTATGTTTAAAGTTCCACATAATAAAAACATATGTTGAACAGAAAAATATAATAGTGCAAAACAGTAAGTGTTGGTTTAACATAAAGGTGTGTTTTGTGTGATGATTATGGATAGTTGAAATTCTTTTTTTTCAAGACAGGGTTTCTCAGTGTAACAGCCCTAGATGTCCTGGATCTTGCTCTTTAGACCAGGCTGGCCTCGAACTCACAGAGGACCACCTGCCTCTACCTCCCAAGTGCTGGGATTAAAGATGAGCGCCACCACCGCCTGCCTTAAAATTCTTCGCTTATTGTTTTTTTTATCTCCTGTGTATGGTGCCCGGTGCCTACAGAGGCACGAGTCGTCTCTTTGGCAGCTGTGAGTCATGATCGAGAAGGATGAGACGGGGAAATATAGGATCGAAGTTTCTGCATATTGTTGAACTAATATGAAGAACAGAAATTATTATATTTTGCTGAGCATGGTGGCACAGTGCTGGAAGACCAACACTTGGGAGGCAGAGACAGGGGGATTTCTGTAAGTTCAAGCCCAGTCTACATAGTGAGTTCCAGGAAAGCCAGGAATACTCAATGAGACTGACTAAATGTGTGTGTGTGTGTGTGTGTGTGTGTGTGTGTGTGTGTGTGTGTGTATGTGTATGAAGTTTAATCCAGAGAGAAAATTACTAAGAGAACAAAATGCAGAAGAAAATAACAAAAGAATTAAAATGGGCCTGGTGTGGAGCATGCACTCCCAACACTCGGGAGGCAGAGGCAGTCAGATGTCTGAGTTCAAGGCCACCTTGTCTACAGAATGAGTTCCAGACAGCCAGGGCTACACAGAGGGGAAAAAAATTAAAATGGAACAGTTGATCCAGATGTGGTGACACTCCTATAATCATATCATAACGCAGTAGGCTGAGGCAGCAGGATTGTCATGAGTTGGAGGCTAACCCAAGCTATAGATGAGACCCTCTCTCAAAAAAATCAGCTGGGCAGTGGTGGCACACGCCTTTAGTCCCAGCACTTGGGAGGCAGAGGCAGGCAGATCTTTGTGAGTTCGAGGCCAGCCTGGTCTATAGAGCGAGATCCAGGAAAGGCACAAAACTACACAGAGAAACCCTGTCTCAAAAAAACAAAACAAACAAAAAAACAAGTAATCAAAAGGCATCGTTAGAAACATCTGTTCAGAACACAAGACAGTAGTGGGAGAACAGAGGAACAAAAGGATGTGAAGGACATAACAGGCAGATCTTTCCTTGTCATTAGCTGTGATGTAAGTGGACCCTGTAGTCTGGCCAGACCTAACACAGTGAACTTTCCCCCCACATATGTGCAATACCTCCAAGATAGACTAAGTCAGGCCGTGGAACAAACCTCATTAGGTTTAGATTGGGATTGTATTCCTGGAAAGACCAGCACAAAAGAGCAAATCAGGGTGACCCTGTCATGAAGTCCACACCCATGCCCTCGGGTGTGTCTTATTTTTATCCCACCTGCTTCTCTTAACCCTTGTGTTTAGGCTTATATTTTAAAATATTAATTACACCTAACTGTACTTGAAACAGCAACAATACAACAAAGACACTGCTCTCCAGGGTCTAACCAGGTAAGTGTGGTCGTCACCCCTCATCAAGGAAACAACAGGTGGAGACTAACAGAAAACCACAACCAGTGAAAGTCCAAAGTGTGGAGCTCAGTCCCAACTGATAATCTGTATCACAACTCATGCACCTAAGGCTGAGGGAACCTTGCAGATTGTTGTGAGCCACCAAGTGATTCTGGGAACAGAACCTGGGTCCTCTGGAAGAGCAGCAAAGGCTCTTAATGGCTAAGCTGTCTCTCCAGCCCCGTAAGATCCTTTGTAAAAAGGCAGGATGGTTGTTAGAAGTCGGCATAAGGATACCATATGCCAGAGCTGTTGCATTCTCAAACCAAGGAACGGAGTGTTCAGAATAAAACCCTTACATTTATGGTTAAACACTATTTTTTAATTGGGTCTTGTTGGGGGTGGTGGCAAACATTTTTAATCCTTGCCTTTGGAGGTGAGGTGGGGGCAGAGTCAGGCGAATCTCTGAGTTCGAGGCCAGCCTGGTGGTCTACTGCATGAGTTCCAGGACAGCTAGGGCTACACAGAAAAACCCTGTCTTAAAAAAGTCTTACTGCATAGCCCAGGCTGGCCTTAAACTTGCTTCCTGCCTCTTCCTACCTCTGCCTCCCAAGTGCTGGGATTAAGATTACAGGTGAGTACCATCAGCCAGTGCTCTTAACCGCTGAGCTATCTCTCCAGCCTTAGTTGATTTTTGACAATGTGACAAGACATTTTTATCAGTGGCAGTGGAAATAAGAGAGTGAGGAGATACCAAATGTCCTCCTCTGGCCTCTGAATGCACACCCACATACAACACATACACAGACAGACAGACATAACACACACACAGTTTTTAGAAAGGAAAAAGAAAGTAGCGCAGAGCACAGGCTGGGGAGAAGGCCCAGTGGGTAATGCTCTTGTGGATGTTTTCTCAACTTGACACAGGTCAGAGTCGTTTGAGAAGAAAGAATCTCAATTGAGAAAATGCCCTCACCAGACTGGCCTGTGGGACATTTTCCTGATTGATGATTGATGTGGGAGAGACCAGGCACTTTGGGTGCTGTGACTCCTGAGCAGGTAGTCCTGAATGGTGGTGAGAAAGCAGGCTGAACAAACCATGAGGAGGCAGCCGATAAGCAGCGATCTTCCATGGCCTCTGCTTCAGTTCCTGCCTCCAGGTTCTTGCCCTGACTTCTCTGGATGATGGGCTATCAGCTGGAAGGTGAAATAAACCCCCTCCTCCCCAAGTTACTTTTAGTCGTTATGTTTTATCACAGCAGTAGAAACCCAACTAACACATCATACAAGCATAAAGACCTGAGTTCGAATCCCCAGAACCCAAGTAAAGCTGGATGCAATAGCCTGCATCTGTAATCCCACCATTTCTATGGAGAGGTGATAGGTGGAGACAGGCAAGTCTCTACATCAACTGTTTGCAACTCCAGTTACGAGAGATCCAATACCCTCTTCTGGCCTCCAAGGGCGCCAGTCACCAGTCACAGATGTGGTAGACATACATGGGTACAGTTTAGCACTCATACACAAAATAAAAACATAAATCTTAAAAAAAATCCATGTGTCTTTATTCCCAATATTCACGAGGCTGAAGCAGGTAGATCTCTGACTTTGAGGCCAGCCTGGTCTACAGATCAAGTTCCAGGATAGCCAGAGCTACACAAAGAAACTGTCTCTGTCTCAAAAAAAAAAAAAAAAAAAAAAAAAAAAAAAAAAGGCTAGGTGTGGTGATGCGCACCTTTAATGCTAGCCCTCCGAAGGCAGAGGCAGGCAGATCTCTGTGACTTCAAGGCCAGCCTGGGGTACAGAGCAAGTTCCAGACAAGCCAGGGAAATGTAGAGAGACCCTGTTTCAAATAAAAACAAGCTAGGTGGCAGTGGTGCATGCCTATACTCCCAGCACTTGGGAGGCAGAAGCAGGCATATCTCTGTGAGTTCAAGGCCAGCGTGGTCTACAGAGCTAGTTCTGGGGCAGTCAAGGCTACAAAAGAAACCCTGTTTCAGAAAACTCAGTGGATAAAGAAACTCCTCACCAAGGACTTAAATTCAATCCCTGGGACCCAGAAAGTAGGAGAGAATTGAGTCCCACAAGTTGACCAACATCCACATGTTCCCCATGACACACATTACCCCAAAAAAATTATATGTAATTTTTAAAAAAATTTAAAGAAAATTAAAGCTGGGCATAATGATCCACACCTTTAATCCCAGCACATAGGAGGTAGAGTTTGTCTATAGCAAATTCTTATTTTTATGAGGGGCTGGAGAGATGGCTCAGCAGTTAATCGTAGGTTCACAGTTCTCTAAGGTGGAAAATGCTTGAGCAGCATCCTGGTGAGGGGAGGAAGTGGCTATGATAAGAGGTGGAAGGCTAGAGTATGACGTCACATGGAGATGGAGAAAGCTTCAGTGGAGTGAGATGAACACGGGTGTTGATGGTAATGGTTGATATTCCTGAGACAATGACATTCAAAGCTTAATGGCCTGTAACTTGGAAGATTCCAATTGTATCAGGTTAAGTAAGCAAGAGGCAAAAAGAACAATTATGCCGGTGAGTGGACCAGGAGAGGGAATTACCAGGAAAGCAAAAAGATAAGACCATTGGCCTTTTGGCAGAAAGTGACCAGGACAGGTAAGTGGCTGTCCGGGCTGGGCGCAGAGCTGGGAAATGGTAAAATGCAAAATGGATTTTTGTTGCGGTGGTGGTAGTGGTGGGTTTTTTCTTTCTTTGTTTGTTATTTTGAGACAAGGTCTCATGTAGCCCAGGCTGGCCTCAAGCTCACTATGTAGGGTTACAGAAGTGTAATTGGAAGAAGCATCGGCCAAGACTGTTGAGACTCAAGTTTAGTGAGAAATCTCTCAAGGTTTAGATTAGCCTTTTCAGTCTTTCCAGAAGATGGAAGTTATGGGGTAGCATAGGGATAATATTTAATTTAAAGAGATTTACATTCTTTAGCATCAGAAGTTAAAGCCAGTCTGGGCATGGTGGCACAGGCCTGTAATCCTAGCACTTAGGTGGCAGAGGCAGAAGGATCACTGCAAATTCAAGCCATCCTGGGCTACACAGTGCAACCCTGTCTCAAAAAATATTTACAGAGAGAGAGAGAGGAAGAAGAAAAAGAAAAGGAAGTTAAAAATGAGAGAGAAATGAAGGAAAGGAGGGAGAAGGTGGGAGAGAGTATACAGACAGACAGACAGGCCATTATTGGACAGGGAGCGCAAGACAAGAAATAATGTGTTCTGGGGTTGGGGATTTAGCTCAGTGGTGGAGCGCTTGCCTACCAAGCACAAGGCCCTGGGTTTGGTCCTCAGCTCTGAAAAAAAAAAAGAAATGATGTGTTCTAAGAGGTTGTGTCTGAGGCCCTTCCTGTGTTAGCAATGAATGTTTCTATCTCTCCGCTAAAGGTATCTTCCAGGACTAGGAGATATTTGAGTCCCTTGCACAGAGTATGTAAGCAAAATTTATCTGCCTGTCTTCCTCCAGCATAGTTTCCTCATGCTGAATAGGCTGCAGAAGACTGGAGGTCTACGTGTTCCTCAGGGTTATCCTGACAACACCTAGGACAAACTTTAGAAACAGATCACAAGCGGGCTGGAGGTTAAGAGCACTGGCTGCTCTTCCAGAGGTCCTGAGTTCAAGCCCCAGCAACCACATGATAAATCACAACCATCTGCAATGAGATCTGGTGCCCTCTTCTGGCGTGCAGATGTACATGCAGACAGAACGCTGTATACTTAATAAATAAATCTTTTTAAAAAAGAAAGGAAGCCGGGCGGTGGTGGCACACGCCTGTAATCCCAGCACTCGGGAGGCCGAGGCAGGTGGATCTCTGTGAGTTCGAGGCCAGCCTGGTCTACAGAGCTAGTCCAGGACAGGCTCCAAAGCTACAGATAAACCCTGTCTTGAAAAAAAAAAAAAAGAAAGGAAAAAAAGAAACAGACCACAAGGTGGGGCTGGATAGCAATTGCTGTTCTTGCAAAGGACCCAGGTTTGATTTCTTAGCATCCATGTGTTACTCCAGTTCCAGGGGGATTCTATCCCCCACCCACCCCCACCCTCAACCTCCTCAGGCATCAGGCATGCACATGATACACATACATACATGCAGGCAAAACACTCATACAAAAATAAATAAATAAATAAATAAACAAACAAACAAACAAACATACATACATCTTAAAAAAAGTCACAAGATAGTTGTAGGTAAAGGCACACTTTGTCACCAAGCTTGAGGCCCTAAGTTCAGTCCCCAGGTCCTACATAGTTAAGGAGGGAACCAAGACAGGCAGTGGTGGCACATACCTTTAATCCCAGCACTTGGGAGGCAGAGGTGGGCAGATCTACATGAGTCTGAGGCCAGCCTGGTCTACAGAACTAATTTCAGGACAGCCAGAGCTGTTACACAGAGAAACCCTGTCTCGAAAAAACAAAACAAAACAAAACCAACCAAACAAAAAAACCAAAAATATAATAAATCTTAAAGAATGTAACTTTGGGTTCGGCAGTGGTGGTGCACGCCTTTAATCTCAGCACTCAGAGGCAGAGGCAGGAGGATCTCTGAGTTTGAGGCCAGCCTGGTCTATATGGTAAGTTCCAGGACAGCCAGGGCTACACAGAGAAACCCTATCTCGAAAATCAAAACAACAACAACAAAAGAATAACTGGTTCTTGCAACATCTGGGGAGAAGGAGACCATAGAAGAACTCACAACTTCAGGGCCTTAGCAGCACTCAGTCTTCCCTGGACTCCTTGTGGTCCAGGCATAGTCAGGGGCATTTGTGCTTTCTCAGGTTCAACCTGTGTGTGGTCCGAAGATATGAACTAGCCTTCCCTCACAAGAAAGAAAGGACTTTATTGATTCCAAGGAATTCCCACTTTGGTGGCTGGACTTGGCCCCAGAGGAGGCTCAGAAGCTTTGGGCACTCTCAGCAGAAACATCAGCTGACCACACAAACAGGAAAGAGTCCTTTGACCCAAGGATGGGTTAGTGCCCGCCCACTGAACTGGGATGGCCACGAGATGGCGCTCCAGAATTTCCTGAGACAGAACAGACAATTAGTGTGGCCTTATGGGGAATCCGTTATCTCTGCTTCTCCAATTTGTCTTTTCTGACTTCAGGGTCTTTGCTTAGTCATCAAAGACCTTGAAATCACCGGACGGTGATGGCGCATGCCTTTAACCCCAAAAACATAGGAGGGAGAGGCAGGTGGATAATCTGTGAGTTTAAGGCCAGCCTAGTCTACAAAGCAAGTTCTAGGAAAGCCAGCGTTAGATACACCGAGAATCGTGTCTTGAAAGCTGTGTTAATAAAGTATGGAAGGAATTCTAGAGTTCCAGATCTAGTTATTTGTTTGAGACAGGATCTCACTATATAACTCTGGCTGGTCTTGAACTCACAGAGATCCACCTGCCCCTGCCTCTTGAGTGCTAGGATTGAAGACATATACCACTACACCTGGCCCGGTCTAGTTTGTAGCAGGAATCTTAAAGAGTCTTATTAATAAAATCAAACCCAAGGCCAGTTATTGGGATGAACTCTGGAAGATCAGAGAGACAGAACAGGCCACAGCTTCCTCAGCTCGACATTTCCTCAGCTGATCCTGTTTCCTCAGACTGGAAGCTTCTGTGTCCTCATCCCAATGGCTCTCAGCTGAACTGCTGCTCGAAAGCCTGAAGCTTAACCAGCCAAAAGCTTAACCAGCCAAATGCTTCTAGTCTCTGGTCCTCACGCCTTATATACCTTTCTGCTTTCTACCACCACTCCCTGGGATTAAAGGCTCACTTCTTGGGATTAAAGGCGTCAGTCACCATGCCTGGCTGTTTCCAATGTGGCCTTGAACTCACAGAGATCCAGAGGGATTTCTGTCTCTGGAATGCTAGGATTAAAGGCATGAGTGCCACCATTTTCTAGCCTCTGTATGTAGTGGCTGTCTGTTATCTGACCCCAGATAAATTTATTAGGGTGCACAATATTTTGGGGAACACAATACCACCACACTAGTTTTTTCTTTTTCTTTCTTTTTGTTTGTTTGTTTGTTTTCCAGACAGGGTTTCTCTGTGCAGTTTTGGTGCCTGTCCTGGATCTCACTCTGTAGACCAGGCTGGCCTCGAACTCACAGAGATCTGCCTGGCTCTGCCTCCTGAGTGCTGTGATGAAAAGTGTGTACCACCACAGCCCAGCTGGTCTAGCTTTTTCATTCATTCATTTTTTTAAAATAATATTTTTAGCCGGGCGGTGGTGGCACACGCCTTTAATCCCAGCACTCGGGAGGCAGAGCCAGGCGGATCTCTGTGAGTTCGAGGCCAGCCTGGACTACCAAGTGAGTTCCAGGAAAGGCGCAAAGCTACACAGAGAAACCCTGTCTCGAAAAACCAAAAAAAAAAAAAAAAAAAAAAAAATTTTATATTTTACATACCAACCACAGATCCCCCTCATCCTTCCTTCTGCTCCTCCCCAGCCTTCCCCCCACCACGCCCCATCCCTTCCTTCAAAAGGGTAACTAGTCTATCTTTTTATTTGTTTGGTTTGATGTGATTTTTTTTAAAAAAGATGTATTAATTTTTATTTTATGCGTATGAGTGTTTTGCCTTCGTGTGTGTGTGTGTGTGTGTGTGTGTGTGTGTGTGTGTGTGTGTGTGTACTGCGTGTGTGCCTGGTGCATACAGGAACCAGAAGGGGAGTGACGGACCTCCTGGAACTGGAGTCACTAAGCCACCATGTAGGCTTGGTGGTAGGCGGCTGTCCTGGTGAAGCAGGAGTTGTCACTCTCTGATTCAAGGGAGAGGGGTGTCCTGCTTTCTTGGGATGAGGGGGTGTCTTTCTTTAAAAATTGAAGGGGGGTTTTAAGACAGGGTTTTTCTTGTATGTCCTTAGCTGTCCTGGAACTCGCTCTGTAGACCAGGCTGGCCTCGAACTCACAGAGATCAACCTTCCTCTGCCTCTCTAGTGCTGGGATTAAAAGAGTGCACCACCACCCCCCGGACACAACATTTTTATTATATTTACTTACTTATCTTGTGTGTGGGAGGGTGTGCATGTGTGTGTGAATGCACATATGTGAGAGACTTACAAGAACCTGTTCTTTCCTTCTAGCATGTGGGTCCCAGGAACTGAGGTCATCAGGCTTGGTGACAAGTGTCTTTATCCATTGAGCCATCTTGCCAGCTCCCTGCGGAAGATTTTCTTTGGTCCAACTAAAAACAACACCCTAATTCACTGAGGGTGGAAGGGTACTACAAGGTCACTGGGTTCCCCACAGTCAGTCCAGAGCATGTACTGTTTATCTAGAACAGTCTAGCATTATGTGGGCATTTGGGTACTAACAGGCTCAAAAGTTGAGGAGGATCCACTACCTCCCGCATAATTAACAGCCTGTAAAGCCAGGCACTGAGGCTGTGGGACCTGAGTGGAGATGTGACATTCTAAACCTCCTGAAAGATAAGATTACTCTCTGGCCAGAGGCTTTCTGATAAAGAACAGGACAGACCATTGTGTCTTTCCTTAGGAGTTAATGCAAAGTCACCTGGGTAGAAAATGCTCTGAGGAAAGTTCTGGAAACTTTAAGCAGTAAAAAAACCTATCTAGCCCGGCAGTAGTGGCGCACTCCTTTAATCCCTGCACTTGGGAGGCAGAGGCAGGCAGATCTCAGTGAGTTCAAGGCTAGCCTGATCTACAGTGTGAGTTCCAAGACAGCCAGCGCTGTTACACAGAGAAACCCTGTCTCGGAAAAACCAAAAAAAGAAAAAAATAAAAACAAAATAAAAAACCTATCTAAATGTATCCGTGGGTGCAATGGTCTCTGGCTGTTGTCCATTCTCACCCCCTAAGGGTGATTTTTCTGAGTGGTGCCTTTGGCCATGGTCCAATTTCACCCTGTGTGGGTGTTTTCCTCAATGGTGGTGCCTTTGGCCAATGTTCACTCTTATCCCTCGAGGGTGCCCCATTTTACTCTGTACAAAACTTCATTCAACCTCTCTACTGTCCTCTGTGTGTGTCATCTGAATTCTTTCCACAGACATGGCAGGAGTGGTGAGCCCAGTGGAGACCAGAGGAAGGTCCCAGGAGCACCTTTGGGTGCCTCTGCCTGGCTGGGTTTGGTTTCCTTCATCTTCATCACAAGGTGTGGACTCTTCTCTCCGGTTGAGGCTATGAGACTTCCTGCTTCACCTGCTCACATCTTCTCTCAGTGTTCACAATGTCTGCACTTTGCTCCAAAACCTCTCTTATTTTCTTATTTGGGTCCTTACATAGATCGCTTTCTCTCACTCCACTTGCATTTGTCTCCTGTTAATCCCACTAACCACGCTAAGCTGTCTTTTCCAAAAGGGTGGCGGATATGGTTATGTAATATTTTATATTGCCAGGCAGTGGTGGCTCACGGCTTTAATCCCAGCACTTGGGAGGCAGAGGCAGGTGGATCTCCGAGTTCCAGACCAGTCTGGTCTATAGAGTGAATTTCAGGACAGCCAGGGCTACACAGAGAAACCCTGTCTCAAAATGGCTGTGGTGCCTATAAGCATACCAACGCACATGCTCGCTCATTCGGCACCTGTGGCTCCTCTCAGCCCTTCTCACTCCTCCCCCTCCCCTAAACTTCTCCAGCCCAGGGGCTTTCCTTCCCTCAGCTTCTCATGTCTATACAACCCTGCCATTCCAGCTGTGTGTGTTCCTTTTTGTTGTTGTTTGTTTTCTTTTGTTTTTGAGACAGGGTTTCTATATGTAGCTTTGGATGTCCTGGAACTTGATCTGCAGACCAGGCTAGCCTCGAACTCACAGAGATCCCTCTGCCTCTGCCTGAGTGCTGGGATCAAAGGCGTGCCACCACCACTGCCTGGCGGACCTATGTGAGTTCTTGGCCCCCTCTTGCTCTCTCTCTTCTGTCCTCCTCTCTCACCTCCCCCACTTCCCCATGGCCTAGTTCAGTCTGCTTGTCATGTTCAATCTGCTGCTTTCTCTCTTCGCTCTGGACTCTCCCAGATGCCTCTGGCTGCACTCTCCCTCAGAGCTACGATAAAAAACTCCCCCTCCACCGTCGCTCGGAGCGGTCATGTCCTCACTTGACACACTATGGTGACAGACTCTACTGACCTCTCATCTGACCACCTGTTGTGGGCAATAATAATAACTCCTGTCTCGGGGCCTTCAGATCAGCCCTGTTCCTGCTGTTGACGTGGCCTATTGGAACTGCCGTCTACTCCTCCTCCTGCTCCCGTGTTTGGCTATGCCATCCATCCATCTGTCCATCTGTCCATCCATCCATCTACCTGACTGTTCATCTGGCCATGGCTCTGCCCTTTTGCCTCTGCAACTAGACTCAATTCCGCAGCTGCCTTCTGTGGCCCGAGGCAGCCTGACTCACAGCGGGGACAACTTCTTCCCCAGCTCCCTGTCTTAACCGTATAGAGTCCATTGCATCACAGGACGCCACCGATGACCTACTAAAAGTGTGGCAGATTCTGTTTTCTATGATAAGCATCTTGAAAAGGAACAGAGCATGAAAGGAAGCTGAAGGTACCAGAGAGAGAACACAAAAGGCCTGCAGAAAACGACCTGGCAGAGAATCTGGCCTCTGACTTTAGTTAGGAAACCAGCAGAAAAGACTTCTTGCAGCCTTAAGGGATGGTTTCAAATCTCTCACTTCACTCCCAGGGGAAACAGAATAAAAGATAAATGCTGTATATGTCTATAAACTCCTCTCTAGAAAAAAACTGCCCAAATATTAACATGCTTCTAAAACTCCTTGCCCTCAGTGTGGTAAGACAGGAAACTGGAGGGTTTATAGCCTCAAGAATCAAAGGAATGCCCCCCACAAGCCAGGGCCCCAAATGGTATCTCCAGAATGAGGAAGCCCTAGGTTCCAGTTGACCTCTGACTCAACCCTGGATCCCAGCTGATGGGAAAGAGCTTTAAGTAAACCTTGACATCATTATGGTCTTTTCAGCATGAGATGCACTGAGACCCACCAGAGAATCACAGAGAGGCCCGAGGCACTGGCCACTCTGCTGGTGCTGGCAGTTGGTACCTGCTTTTCTAGGTG